GGAGCTGTGCAGTTTTAGAATTGGAAGAAACTATGGAAATCATGGAATCCAATGTTTTTGCAATGGGTCTCATTGAGAATAATAGTAATTATATTAACTAACACTTACTGAGTACTGACTTTTGTTATAGGAGCCTAATAATTCCATGTGGTAGATATTCTTTCTGTCAATGTTTAACAGAGGTTACTGTCATGCAGAAAAAATAATATCTTGCCTATGACCACACAAATCTGAGCTGGATATGGGATTTAATCAAAGCCATCTAATTCCCAAGTGTATGTTAATGTTTACTTTCTCGATCTCTTCTGTTGCAGCTTACCAACATCCGAGAACACTGATCCTGAGAAATGTCGTTATTTTCCATGTCATAGTCTCTGCCACTTATTCTGCCACATTGGCAAACTTACTTGACTTTTCCATTTCAACTAACTCATAGGCTTGTTGAGTGTATGAACTCAGGACATAGAAAACACTCAGTATAACAATAAACAAGAGGTTGTATAATAATTAGCACTAGCCATAGCAGCACTGTTAGTTTTAAATCAAAACTTAACTGATACTTTTCTTCAGTAAATAACTCCTAGTCTTGAACAGCATATTTTTAGGCTGAATTTCCAGTTGAGGCACATTATCACACAGAAATATAAAGTTTTATTTGTACTTTCAAGGATACAGAAAACCCACAGTTTTGATGAAGTAGAGAGTCATCTGAGACTTTACAAGTGGTCCCTGGTCCTTCTTTCCCACATCTGACATTGAATCTCTTTCCCTAAATAACAGCTGAGGTTTCTGATGCAGTTGTAGTCCCCTTCAAACAGCAAGGAGTGTTTACATTATGAAACATACCCACTTTATGCCCTTCAAAACTATAAACTTACTGGTTTATTACGAGTAATCTTCTAGCCAGGGACATCCTGCTAAGGGCATTCTATGGATAAGGTCTCTTCCACCAGGCAAAAATCATTATTTTTCAGAGATCCTGTTGAGGATATTAGGCAGTTAACGATCTTTGTTCCTGCCCCACCTTGCAAGAGGGCTCCTCTTCAAAGGGATGAATTGGTTGCAAACCAGCTATTTTTAACTCTTTCCTCCCTATTTCCATTAAAAATTGTTGAAAGTAACTACACTAGACCCTGTAGTTTGGTCTCTGTTTTACAAACACCTTTATAGCACAGGTCGTAGTTATCAATGTCTCATCATTTGGTATAATTCCAAGATTATATCGTTCCTGAATGATTTGGCTTTCAACATATAGCCTTCCTTGACTCTTTAAAACCCACGAAGTCACTTATCTTATTTACTAGTAGTTGCCATTTTAACTATCTTCATATGTAAGAACACCATTACTCTACCTTTTCTAGTAGTTTCAAGTGCAATGTATAGACATAGATGAAAGCATTTTTAAAAGTATGTCTACATAAATGGATAGCTATACCTTTTAGAATAGGTTGTATCCACTAAGTTGTGCCCTCATTGCAGTACATTATAATTATTTCCTTAATTGTTTATTTTTCTTAGATAAAAGTATCAAAATTATATCTGTTTTATTTACCTAGGAAGAATCTGGCATAATTCCTGACATAAATACGTTTGAACATCCTCTCAAGCAACAGCTACTGAAAAAATTGGTTATGATATTTGTTTTTTATCATTATCAACTAGTTTCTACAAACCTCGAGGCTATCTGTAGGAATGTACAGCATAACAAATTAATTACAGAGAGAAGATGTCGTAATGCCTAAAATTTGCTGCAAATTTAGTTTTCTCTTCAGTACAGCTATAACACACTTGGTATCCAATCCCAAATGAAAGTGAGTTATCAATCAAAGATAAAGTTTGTAACAAGAAATTTGCTGTTTTAAATAAAAGTGGGCCATGCTAGTGTGTTCTCTCCAATTAGCAAGAGGAGTCCCTGTTTGACTTCCTTTCTCTAAGTTTGTTTCTACTTAAAAAAAAAAAATCTTCCTTTTGTCAAGATACAGGTTTTTAAATTACTCTTTATGTGTACAAATACCATGAGGCTTAGAAAAAAAGTAATTTACGGTGGCAATGCTGTTGTATTGGAAGAAGGGCAGCAGAGGTTGACTTCTTTATGTTTTTATTGATGGGACAGTTTTGTTTTGAATTTTGAATATTTTCCATAATGGAAAAGTGGTTTTCCATAGAGAAGGCTGTGTGTAACATTGATTCTTGGATCCTGACAGGATAACTGTGGAAAGACATGAATTTTCCTAAGTGATTGGTAGGTTTTAGAATTTAAGATCATAGTTTAGATCCTTACATGTTTTGCTCCTTTCCATTAATTATCCACAACATTGTCATAGATGAAAAAACAAAGAGACTGTTTTTAGTTTTGAGAAACAGTTAACATTGTTCTTACTGAAGTACAGCATCATCAAAGCCATTAAAGAATATATGATTTACCACAGTAATCGACTCGAGTTTTGAGCAGGCACAATTTTTATTTTTTTGCAAGACACACAATCTTATATACGATGCATAATTATCACCTTCCAAAATTACAAGATGTAAATATATACAATAAAGAATATGTGAGTATACTTTTGTTTCAGGGAAGAAATCTGCCTCAGAGCAAACAGGTTTATGACCTTTTGGGATGGGATTTTCGTACTTATGCTGAAACTTCTAAACAGTTCTTGTTTAAAAAATAAATCTCATTGGATGGACATATAGCCTTGTCATAGTTTTCTCGTTAAAAAAGTCTAATTTTAGAGCGAGCTAGTAAGGAATACCAATGAAGTGTATTCCAGTTATCCATCTTATTATGTCCCAATACTAGATAAAACATCTATAAATTATCCAATAATGGTTCTACAGATTTAAGAACCTGTATTTCTCAGCAACACATCATAGAATGAAACCACTTTCTTAAGATTTATGTGAATATTCCTTGATTTTTTCAAAACTAACTTCCAAACTGTGTTCTTTTGTAGCATTATGCTTTGAGTTTTGACTTCAGCTCTCTGCATAGGGGATGCTTTTAGATTCTTAGGAGTATTTCTGAGACATTAATGCCAGTCTCCCCCAGCTAGAATTATGGGTTTTCATCCTCATTGCTGCCTCCTGCATGGTTGTTTCATTTCTCTGTATCTTTTTATGACCCCTCAATAGATCTTATCTTTCAGAAGTCACCAGGGTGGGAAGATGGAATTTAGGTAGCGTTGATCTTGAGGTTTGATACACACAGTTCTGCTCTGTGTGTATCCTCCTTGTTGTGATGAGAAAGCAGGAATATCAAAACATGGAACATAGATAAACATACATCATCTCACATACACATGCATGCATGTGAACACACAATCACATATATACACACGTGTACTCACACTCACACACACATGCACACAAAATCACATACACAAAAACACACATACTCATGAATACTCACATGCACAAACATGTACACTCACATGTGCATACTTACACAATCACACACATATATCCACACATGCAGCCATGCACACCCACAATGCACACACAGAAAGACATATAGTGACACTTTCACATATGTATGCTCACATGATCACATGAGCACACACACAGACATATACACTCACTTACTTACACATGCATGCCCACATACACACTTTTGACAAATGAATATTTTTGTGTAAATGGTATTTTCTTTAACGTGGATGACTCACTTTTTCATTCTTTAAAATGGTGCCCTAAAATGACAAAGCCTCTCTCTCTTCTTCCAGTTTGGGGAAATTGGTGCCCACAATAACAGAGAACTTAGAACATCTCTCATGGGCACTCAGAGCTACTTCTCTCTCTCCATGAGCTGCAAACTTAGATATAAAGACATGCAGGATAATCTGGTTAAAGTTCAGACTCTAACAATGGCAACAGATGCCATAAGGGCACGTGGGGTGCTAAGTGAAAGAGAAACCATTACTATAGTTACTATAATTTTATTCCATGAATGTATATTTTTGCACTGTGTAAGAATCCTTCAAGAAAATCCCCTGGGTCTTACTGTTCCATAAAGAGATTTGTATATTTCTCCCATCAGTAGGGCTTGTTCCTGAAACTGCTCTCTGCATAAATATCCATTCTATATGGTAGCCAAGATTTTTAACCATGGGGTAAATGCCAACCAATATTTAAGCCATTCCTATCTACATTTAGTTGTAAGAATACAAGGACACCAAAGAAAACCAGTGAAATTTAAGAAATGCTCAAAGAGCACTGTGGGTTCATTTGGAAGAACTTTGCCTTTTGGCCTTAAGTCATCTGTCAGATACCATGAAAATCTGGGATATAGACAAGTATCATCAATAGCCACATATAAAGCCTTCAGTGCAAGGTTTGCTTCCAAAAGGAGTATATACACAAGACAGAAAGTACACAGTGAACAGAAATTATAGATGTAATGATGTCTATGAGTATGTAGGACTATAAATTTGATTTTCCCATTAAATTCCAGGAGGTGCTGCCCTAATAACATATAAGATTAAGGAAGAGAAGAGACAGGGGTTATTTCTAAATTATCCCTTTCTTCTCCCCAGGCAAATTACAGAAAAAGCCATTACCTTTGAAATCATAACTTTCAGGGGAAAGATGAGGGAATTAATATATCATCTGGAAGTTTTAGCAAAATTATCCTAAATGTGCTCTCATAGCATTATCCTCAGCTGGTATGTTCTTCACAGAACACAGTGCAAGGTATGGCCAAGCACCACAGGTGACATAATGTCCTTGTTCAGCCCGCAATTAGGAACATTTCTACTTCCTGCCAAAAACCACAAAATCCTAGCCCAAGATTAACATGAGCAAAATGCCCTCCCTCCACAGATAAAGAACATTTGGTAAAGCTATATATTCATGAGGAGATGTTGCATATAAATTGGATTCTGTCAAGTCAACAACCTGGGAATGAGTAAAATATTTTGTGGTTAACACATGAGTTATAAGCACCATTGAATTGCCTAAATGGTGCTCAAGGGTCTGAAAAAGATGGCGTCTGACAAAGACGGTGTCTGACTAATTCCCAGAGTGAAGCTCCTGTTGCCACAAAATGTCTCCACATCAATTGTTAATAACTCAGGGGATATTGTGAGTATGTCCTCAGGAAAGTGCCTGACTGCGGGGCAAGCCCAGCCCTTATTAGCATGTATACTATTAATTACAGATGAAATATATATACTTCAGTGGTATTTAAACCACTTTGTATTTCTTGACATCAGGACATGCTTTATCATGAAATTATTTATCTGAATAGCATGCTGCGAAACGAACTGTGCCTTTTAAGAAATTAAACTATGTTGGAAATCACCTTTTGCATGTTTAAATAACTTCATAAATATCAAGATAATTTCCTATTATACATGAACATCAGACACCTCAGGTGTGGGTCCAAGCCATACTTAAGCCAGAGTCGTCACTACACAGCCATGTGAAATGTGTGTCCACATAGCATAAAGTGAGCTAGGCACATGTCCTGGAAATGGTTCTTGTTTTTTTTCAGGTTGTTGTTGTCAATGTAAAGCATCTGGATAGGTCATCTACTAAGCTCTGAAACGAATAATTTTTCCTTGTCCTTTTTTCTAAACAGAGCTTTTGGAACCACACTGCACAGAAAGGCCACAGCAGATGGGTCCTGGACTAAATCTAGGTAATCAGAAGAAAAAGGCTTATTTCTTTGTTCATCAAAGGAACTGGGAGTCAGCCTTGCTTCCTTGCCTTATAAAGAGGCTGAATTTGCTTATTCAAATCCTTTATACTCCATCCCTACAGCTTTGATACTTCCACAGACCTGAGTGGCTAACCCAGCCTGCATCTTACAACTTCAGACCATGAGATTTCTAAAAGTTTGTTAAAAATTCTACCTTTCCATCTCAGACTTCAGTACTAATCTGAGTTAACCCGAGATCATTAAACTCTTCTCTTCCTGAAGAACTGTAAGAAGACATCTCCATGACTAGTCATACTGGTTTATTTATCCCATCAACATCCCTCATGTAAGTAGGATCCTGAACTGTATTTCTGACTCTACTAGTGCTCTGTCGCTCCATCCTCATCTTAATTGGAAAGCAGAAGTCTCTGAAACATCGCTTGAAGTTTTCATCAAGAAAGGCATAGAGAATGGGGTTCAGGCTGCTGTTAGTATAACCTAAGGCAATGCAGAAATAATAGCTGGAAAGGGCAGCTGTGCTGTGAGAAGCATTCCCCAGAGCCTCCACAAGGATGAAAATGTGAATGGGGGTCCAACAGATGATAAAGACCGCCACCACCACCAGAACCAGCCTGGTGATCCGACGGAGGTTGCGATCTTTCTCTCTGGAGCCAGAAAGGAGTCGGACACTCTTCAAACGCAGGATCATCAGGGTGTAGCAGATGATGATGATGATGACAGGGATCACAAAGGCAAAGACGAAGACACAGATCTTCATGAAGAGGTCCCACCAGGAGTAATCATCATCTGGGAACTGCAAGGAGCACTCAATGACATCCACATCTGGACAAGGTGAACAAAATAAACAGAAGCACAAAAAGAAAATCTTTTCTTATTACTGTGGCTGCAAAGAATTCTAAAAGTGAGTTTTAATATGTCTGGGTACTAAGATCCAATTATGGTGAGATGATATTACCTAATGTAGATCACAAATTAGGAATGAATGCTATGGATATTAACCATCCTATCCATGCTTAGATCAATGAAGCCAGAAAGTCACCATTTACTGTTAACATATGCAATGCTATGAAATACATATTACTAGCTAGTGATATGAATTATGTAGTTGTGGAAACCAGCTTTATGTGAATGACTTTCAGAAGAACTAAACTGGTAATTTATAGCATAAGCCCTTACTTGCAATTCAAATCATTAACAATTCTCCCAGATCTAAGGCTCTGACAATAAAAGCTAGTATCTATTTGTAATAAAGGAGTAAATGTTTCAAATATAGCCATTCAATTTAGCAAAAGCCAACATGTCTGAAAACATCTAGTGATTTACAAAAAACATTCTGTGGGCCAGTAAAAATTTATACAAATTGTGTTTAAATATGATGCAGGAGTTGTGACTTAAAGGAATCAATTGCTTAAGGGTGTTGTTGAAACATGAGTAAATTTTGGGGGAAGGAAGAGGAGGAGGAAGAAAAGAAAAGAAAAAAAAACAGAACAAGGAAAGGGAGAAAAAGGAGGAAGAAAATCATCTTCATTAGCACCATCATCAAGGAAATTCATAAGTGAGACATATTTTTCATTTTTATCAACACTATGTAACAGATAAAACAAATATTTTATTTGATCAATTGGAAAATTGTGTTATTTGCTCTCCTTCTCTTTGCTGGATAGTATTTCTTTGGAGTGACCTTCATATTGGAAAGAGCAGAGACCAGAAAAAACAGAGATCCAGGAATAAGCACTTTTTTGATACTTTCTTTGGGGGCCTGCTAACCCTTCTGGGGCTCCCTTCTTCCTCAAGAATCAGCCAGCCCACATTTTTTCCTCTTCCCTCTGAAAAATCATTGAGCACAGAGCAGGAAAAACTCTTTGTCGTGATCTGATCCTTCCTTACTGATAAAGTAATCATGAGCAATAAGAGCAAAATTTTTATAATGATATATTCTTCTGATATTGAGAAAAATTACTTCAAAAATAGAACAAGAATATTTTTAAGTAGTGAAACATTTCTATATTTTCTAAAACATTTTAATGTGATCTTAATCAAATATCTCTAAGTAAAAACAAAATGTACCATCTTAGAATCTCAATTAGATATACTTACAATACAAAGAATATAATCATTTTGCCCAATTAAGATGACTATCTTAGAAATTTATCTTTAATCAACTAGATACCAGATAAAACCTTTCATAGTAAATGCAAATTTCCAGAATAACTTGTAATTTTTGATTCTCTGAAAAAAATCATTGTTTAAAGTACTATTACTATGAAGGCTATTAGAAACAAACAAGCATCTTTTTAAATTTGTGCTTTTAGTGTTCATGGGAATACTAATAGTTAAAATCATTTTTTAAAAAATCATCACTATTATCATTAAAAAATCATATTAAGCAACTTTTGACAGTGCACATTGCAAAAATCTGAATTTAAAAAAATATACCCGTCTGGATTTGACTTGTCTACTGAAACTAGTCTCCTTGAAAGTAGGGAACATGTTTAGTTTTGTTTTGTCCTTTCCACGCTTAGCTTTTGTGTATATCAACATTGTCTCTTTCTTGAGGTTGGCTTGAGTTTAAATGTCACATCAGAGACATTTATACAGAGTCTGATCCATTTGAATAGTTCTGTCCCTTGCAACTTATATTCTTTCTATATATTATACTCAAATTATTTTTTTATCATTATATAATGACAGAAGCTAGAAAGAATCTCTTCTGTAATAATATGTTACCTTTCCTGGTATTTTTCTCTCCATCCAGAATGCATACTACCTTAGGGTGGATAACCAGCCTGCTGTCCTCAATATATAATCCTTGCCACATAGGGTAGAAAGAACATAGGATGCTTAAGGAATACAAATCTTTTAACTAAGAACATAAGGTGCTTAAGGAGTACAAATTGTTAAATAAGTGAATAAATGAATACCACATGGAAACCCTTGAAAATGGGGACTGATTACAGTAGTTATTATGGAAGAGCAATCTGCTGAGATAAGTAAGGCAACCTAAGAGCTGATGTTCAATCAGCTTCCTCTTGAAGAAATTGTCTTGCACATTGTAGGAGCTCAATAAGTATTTGGTGAATGGGTGAAATAATCAACAACCACTACTTTTATAAGACTTTGGAAAACACTCAGTGATAGAGTTAGAAATATCCTCCAGAAATGTCAGTGAAGCTAAGCTTATACCAACAAAGATAAAGGAGAATACTGAGACAATCATCAAGGAAATTCAAGTCCACATGCACAATTTTTTATTAAATATTCTCTTTCAGGAAAAAAATGTATCTTTTGCTTTAATGATACACATAGATTGAAACTGAAGGATGAAAAAGATATTCCATGCAAATGGAAACCAAAAGAGAGCAGAAGTATCTATTTTTTTAAGATTTTATTTATTTATTTGACAGACAGATCATAAGTAGGCAGAGAGGCAGGCAGAGAGATAGGGGGAAGCAGGCTCCCTGCTGAGCAGAGAGCCCGATGCGGGACTCAATCCCAGGACCCTGAGACCATGAGACCATGACCTGAGCTGAAAGCAGAGGCTTATCCCAGTGAGCCATCCAGGCGCCCCCAGAAGTAGCTATTCTTACATCAGACAAAACTGGCTTCAACTTAGAATCTGTCATAAGAGGGAACAAAGTCACTATATGATGATAAAAGAACCAAGTTATCAAAAGGATGCAACAATTGTTAAGTATATATGCATCCAACATTGGAGTAGCTAGATACATGAAGCATATATTAATAAAACTGAAAGGAGACAGAGATAGCAATAATGGGGCACTATTTTTTTATTGTGTTATGTTAGTCACCATAAAATACATCATTAGTTTTTGATGTAGTGCTCCAAAAGTAATTGTTTAAATATAACACCCAGAATAGGGCACTTCCATATCCTACTTTCAACAATGGATAGATCACTCAGATATAAAATCAATTAGGAAACAGTAGACTTGAGCAACACTATAAATTAAATGGGGTGGTGGGGGAGGCCTGGATGGCTCAGTTGATAATGTGTCTGTCTTTTGGTTTTGGCTCAGGTCACAATCACAGGGGTCATGAAATTGAGCTCTGGGTGGGGTTCACTGTGGAGTCTGCATAAGATTCTTTTCTCCTCCCTTTCCCTCCCCTTCTGCTCCCCCCCACCAAAATAAATAAGTAAATAAATAAACAAAAAAATAAAATCATTTTAAAAATAAATAATAAATTAAAAAATAAAATGGACTTCACAAACATATACAAAACATTCCATTCACAAGAAACAGAATACACATTATTTTTAAGTGCACATGAAATATTCTCCAGTATAGAACATACATTATGCCATAAGGCAAGCCTTAACAAGTTTAAGAAGACTGAAATCATATCAAATATCTTTTCTGATCACATGAAAATAGACATTAAATAGGAAGAAAATTGGAAAATCCACAAATCTGTAGAAATTAAATAATACGCTCCTGAACAACTAAGGGTCAAAGAAGAAATCAAAGAAAATTTAAAAATGCTTGAGATGAATAAATAGAAATACAATATACTAAAACTATGGGATATAGTAAAAGCTGTTCTTAGAAGGAAGTTTATAGTGATAACCACCTACATTAAGAAGTAAATAACATAGCTTTATATATTAATGAACTAGAAAAAGAAGAATGAACAAAGCCCAAAGTTAGTAGAAGGAAGGAAATAAAGAAAAGAGCAGAAATAAATGAAATAGAGACCAGAAAACAGTAGGGAAAAAAAACAGTTTTTTTGAAGATAAAAAAAGTCAAACCCTTAGACCAGGAAAAAAGGAGAGAAGACGAAATCAAAGAAAAGACATTACAACAGATAACATGGAAATACAAAGGATCATAAGAGACTACTATAAACAATTACATGTCAACAAATTGCATAACCTAGAAAAAATGGGTAAATCCCAGAAACATACAACCTACAAAACTGAATCATAAAGAAATAGAAAATCTGACAGACCAATAACAAATAGATTGAGACTATATCAAAAACCTCCCAACAAAGGAAAACCAAGTGCCAGGTGGTTTCACTTGTGAGTTCTATCAAGCACTTAAAAAGGATACCAATACATTTCAAACTTTTTCAAAAGAAGAAAGTATACTTCCAAACTCATTTTATAAGGCTAACATTAACTTGATACCAAAACCAGACAAGGACACCACGATATCTCTGATGAACACGATGCAAAAGTCCTACAAAACACTAGCAAACCAAATTCAACAGCACAAGAAAAGAATCATATATTATAATCAAGTGGGATTTATCCCTGGGAGGCAAGTATGGCTGAGCATATACAAGTCAAATAATGTGATACACCACATTAATAGAATGAAAAATTAAAAATCAAAAGATCGGGGTGCCAGGGTGGTTCAGTGGGTTAAGCCTCTGCCTTTGGCTCAGGTCATGATCTCAGGGTCCTGGGATCGAGCCCCACATTGGGCTCTCTGCTCAGCAGGGAGCCTGCTTCCTCCTCTCTCTGCCTGCCTATCTGCCTGCTTGTGATCTCTGTCTGTCAAATAAATAAAATCTTAAAAAAATAAATAAAAATCAAAAGATCATCACAATAGATGCAGAAAAATATTTGACAAAAATTCAACATTTATTCATGATTAAAACTCTCAACATAGTAAGTACAGAAGGAATGTACCTCAACATAATAAGGCCATATATGACAAGCCCACAGCTACATCCTATTCAATAGTGAAAGATTGAAAGCTTTTCCTTTAAGCTCAGGAACAAAGCAAAGATGCTCATTCTCACCACTTTTATTCAACATAGTACTGGAAGTCCTAGCCATAGCTCTTAGGCAAGAA